GCTTGTTTCTCATTTATAACTATTCATCTGTAATCATATGATAGACCACTGAGTTGATACGGATAAAAGCAGATACTTATGTTATTCATAATTCTTACTATTTTGTTCTTTATTACTATTCTTCATGAAATCTGTTTGACAATAATTACACTTAACGTTTAGTTTATGTTACAATTTAAAGACGTAACTATTAAAATATGTGAATGTTTTTTATTAAATTCGGTAAGCCGAATAGTTTAAGTATAAATTTTTTTATTGTCCTTCGTTGAACAATTAAAATCTTATCGAGAACTGTGTTAACAGTATTATAATTAAGTGATTTACATTAAAACAATCCTATTTTACTGCAAGTATCTATTCATCATTTTAATCTATTAATCTCCTATACGTTTAGTTACATTGATGATTCCGATTACAGTACCAACAATAAATATTTTTTTAATGAATTTAAATTAAACTCAAATATAAAAATAATTAATTACATAAGTAGTGAAGATAAAATAAACTGAGTTAAGCTAAAAGTAGTGAATCACTGATAAAAAAATTGTATATGGTTGGTGGAATTGTTTTAAACTACCTTATTCTGCCAGAGCGAATAATTATAGTAAATTCAGTACGTGTCAATGCTAATACTTAATTCACCAACAAAATTGAAACTGGTATTTTCTGAGGTAGTTGTTCTTTATCTAGGCAGGTGTCGTTTATATGAATCAACTGTCAGTCAGACTTTAAATACATTTCGGTCAATGAATAGAACCCTTCACACATACTATTATTTGATCGTATTTAATTTAATAAGATGTATAGCCACAAATATTCGTCATGATGATCAACAACTGACGTTAAACGAACTGTTGAGTAAGTAACCTTATTCAAGCTATTCAGTAAAAGATATTTACAATGGGAATTAAGTTGTTATTTTTTTAGTTGGACATGTTTTGTGGAAATCCGTTTTAATTGGTAGGTTGCCTCCACTATAGACTGTTCATATCTGGGGTACCTTTGATGATTAGAAATTATCGGATAGCTTATTCTTCGAAATATGGGACTTCTCAATACTAAATTCCTACGAACACGCCAGGAATTGAATGCAATAGGACCATCAGATCTCGCGGTGAACACCTAACCATTATAACCACTAGGTAAGCCTCCATTGGAACAGTCCCAACTTCAATCAGTCTGTGACCTAGCTAAATTATCCCTAGTGTGTTTGCGAGCATCCACTGCTGAGGAGTCCTATACTAGGGTGAAACGTGTGTCCAGAGTTCCCTAACCCTTAACGATAACTTTAGTGAGATCGGCCTGTAACGAGCAAATCTACAGCTGCTCATTTGATTTGTTTGTTTGTTAACTTCAAACGATTAGAATACTATAACTCATATTATTTCACTAGTCATTAATTTTAAATTCTGTTACGTTATCCTAAATAATAATTTAGGTTTGGCTTCTAATTTTAATCAATATTCTTATGGTTATCAAGCGACCATATATTCATATGATACATCTCAACAGTCCACTTATAAATAAATTGTTTATATAAGTTGAAGCTAATAGTCATATAGGTTCTACACTACTTTCCCTGAAAATCATTAGGTGAACTGAAATGTAAACTATATTAAAAAGCGGAGGATACATTAGTTCAATAGATTTCCAGAAACTGCTTAACTGAATGATTTCCTTTATTCATATAAACTATATATCTGATTTTTAGTCTTATCTAATATTTTAAGTTATTCATTTTTAATCTTATCAGTTAATATTGTTTCCTATTTATTTCACGATGTTCATTTTTGTAAGAAAAAACAATTATTCCTGTTTTCGCATGCATAATATATGATGATGAAACCAGAAAAATAACCTTTTTCCGTAAAAAGCAAGCAGTCGAAGCAAAAAGTATGTTGTTTTTTCTCTCCCCCTCTTTAATGGATATATATATATATATATATATATATATATACCTATTCTCTCTGATACTTCTTACACTCACTTTTTTATTTCTCACCTTTAAACCTAATAAAATTTCATGCTGATCCAATAAAAAAGAATTACTATTGTGTTACATATGGTACCTACCGCAATTTATTGTTTATTTGTTTTCTCCATCGATCTTGCATCTAATTTAGTAACATGTTTATTTAATTCATAATATGTAAAGAGAAAAGAGAGAGGTATGGAAAGAGAGAGAGAGGGGTGGGTGGGAGTAAGATAGGTGAATCGAACAAACAATAAAAATGTATTTGAACTTTTATAATTTGGTACATTAACTGGATATCACCATAGATAATGTAAAAAAAATTCTCCATTTATAGAATACCAATTACTGTTATTATTATCATTCTACATTGTAATCAACTGTAATTAATTAACAATATACACATATACAAGTAAGTGTCTAATTATGGAAATTAACGAAAGTGTAAATGTTACGAAAGGAAACTATTTCTTTATTTCAATAGATTTTCCTCAAATTCAAAATAGTCATAAGCTTGTTAGCAAATTTAAAATAAAGACATCATATTTATAAAGGCTTCCATTAGGTGCGTGTGCTTACATTGCCATTTTGGATGTTAACACTGAAACTAAAACCCTGGTATCTTTTTTTTCAAATGTCAATGTATTGACCATTGATCTAAGGAGTTCAGATAGTTACTGGCATGTTCAACGAGTGTGCAATGAGTGGATCCTTTTTTGTGATTCGGTTGCAAGCTTTCATTGAAGCAGTATGAAAGCTAACAGTTAAATTCAGGATATGTGTTTCGTCTTGTCTGAGATTCATTAATCGGGGTTGCTTGAACCTTAGTGTTGATTTTTATACGGAAAATCCAAATCAATAGCGTTTGTCTCAAATGCTAATGTGATATCCAGGTACCACTGAGTTCAGGGAGCCAATAGCTTGGATGATAACTATAAACTGTTTGTTGTGCAAAAACATCTGGCTAGTTGGTACTACCGAATGAATTCACTTACGATCACATATGTCATTAGGGGCGGACCAGTTAAAAGTCTTAACTTCAACAACAGGAAAATGCAAACCCTTATAAATGAAATTTACTCTGCTTAAACATGCTACTGGCTAAATGAACACCGGAGATCAACGTTTAACTCATTAACGTTTGAATCGAAAGATACAAAGTTCAAATCTTAGTATGAACATCAACACTGGGAATGTAAGTACATACAGCTACTGAGTCCCTTGTAAAATAAAACTCCACTCTTCGAATACATTACAAACCATTTTTTAATAGATACGAAATATATACTGAGCAAACTTGTACTCACAGTATATTTGTTATTGATATAGTGCTTCGTACTTCCCATAATCCACACGAGAGATATTTAAGTAAATTTGTTTGTATCAATTATTTTTAGTTTTGTATCAAGGGTTGATCTTAGTTTAACAATTATTGAAAATCAGGATACAGTTAATGGTTGTTTCATTCTAGTACATGATTCATCAACAGCGTACACAGACGACTACATTCGGGATCAAATTTAATAGCTTTGATTCGTTTGGTGAGTTCACATTTAAACTGTTAAGTTGGGGCTCATTTGTTTGTATTTCTAACTCTAGAGAAATCAAAATATTCCATAGGCATCATGCACTTATAGTATGTTAATAAATGAAATCATTTCAGTTTTATATTGATAAAAACATTTCAATTTAATTTTATTATTTTACTGTATTTATCTTTTTAAGATGTCTTCTGTTCTATTCTAATCACCTGATGTTCTTTTATCAGTGAAGTCATTAAATCTTAGTAGTAAGAAAAAAATTCATGATTTTTTAGTAGATAGGAACAAATGTTTTATTACTTGAATATCAATCTAATAGTAATAATAATAATAACACTTACCTTTTACAAAATGTATGCAACAAGATATCATTTTTAATTTTTTTTTAATCATCTAACAATCTGTAGTTGGTATTTGTCATACATTGACTTTCTTTGTTATATATGTGGAAATTAATGAAAACTGAACAGATGTTTCTGAACTCAGGTAAGACTGTTAATCAATGTTCTAAATGCTTACCTTGAAAAATTCACTAACCTTATGAGAGAATATCAGTTTATAATTCCTTAAATAATTCAAAAAATTTTGTTATACTCAAACAACTTTTTTCCATAGGAAATTTACTGGTCTAAATTATAATGATAATTTACAACATATGATTTGTATCTGGAATAGACGTATTATGACTGGAAACCTAATCCTAGAAGCATTTTCATTCCTATTTAACACTTATATTGACTGACGAATTTATAAGGAAGACTAATGGTTCAAAACAAATACAATAACTATTGCATGTTATTTAAATGGCAAAAGTTTGAGGTCTTGACTGAGCAATCCATTAGGTTTATTTACTGACGATTGTTTTTATCTTCTTTCGATCAACTGTAAAAATCGTTTTATGAAGAGGATTCTGAAGTTATATAATATTTACCACTTTTTAATACTTAACTGTCAAAACTTTACAAGGTGCATCTACAATCTCGAAGGTAATTAGTGAACTTAGTTACTAGGGTCCACAATCTTACAGTGAGACTCAGTTTGTTTAAGACAGCAGGTACGCCCTGTTAATCACCACGAAATCTTGGTTATATAGTGTTTCCTACTGATTACTTCTAACAAACTAACATCCCAACATAGTGGACACAAAGTTGAGTCACTCAGACTAGCGGCCTCTCCGGAACTTGATCAATAGAATTCAGTAATTATTAATGGCTGAAAAATTCCCATTATATTACTTATGGACTAGACAAACATGACACTGGGTACTACTTAGTAACCAATCAGTAGTAGGTCTTAATATTTAATTGGTAATACTTATTAACCACCAAACACAGTATAGGTTTACTCTTCACTATTGAATTCTTCAAGTTTCCTTAACAACAAATCACCTGTTTGTATAACATGGATGGTATTCCGTTTCAATATTGAGCTTAGCTATAGTGGCAAGTAAATGTAACTGAAAAAAAAAACAGAATAAGTTTTACGAGTTAATTACTTAATACCTTTATATTTCTAAGCTTAAAAAATAAAATCAATAAATTTAAATTTATTTATTATTATTTCAGTTAGATACTCAGTTCATTTCAATTGTTTCAATCAAAATGTATTAAACGTTTCAAAATGTAGTTGTTTTCTTTATTACCATTCACAGTTTAATTTAAATTCTCTCTGAAACATTCATTGTTGTAAGTCGCCTCGATCGATTTCTGCAATGTAAATGAAGTAGAATAAAGTCAGATTACAGTTATGAAAATAATTTATTACATCAGAACTTATGACATAATATTGCATATATTCTATTTTATGAATGAAAACGAAATTAAGACAAAGATTTTTAGTATAGGTTACGTGTAGTTAGTTACTTGATTGTGAAATGTTATTGTCATAACCGAGAATGAATTAAATTTATCCATATTTCTTAAACTCTTTCAAACAAACACATATTAAATACATCGTATCATTTATATAGTATTCTATAGGCTTCATTTATACGAAAAAGAAAATCACTTCTGTGGCGTATAGATTTATACTTTTACTAATGATAATATTAATTTTATTGAATTCTGTAGGCTTGGTTCTAAGGAAGAATTTTCAATACTAAAAATACAATACTGATATAAATGTTTATTTTTACCATGCAGATATACCATTTTTAACTACCCAAAACATATTTTAACAGTGTTTATTCATAATTTATCTTCAGTTGCAAAATATTCAAGTCAGGTAGTCATCATCTGTGAAACGTCTGACATAAATATGTAATGACCTGAGTTGTCATATCAAACTGGCACGATAAGATGAAGTTAGAAAGATGAATAGTAAACAAGTTGAGATAAACATGGTGAAAATGATCATGAAATAGACTGAATATTGGAAGTATGATTCACGTAGAAGTAAATGAAAAAATATATATAAAAAAATACTGAAGATCGAGAGGAATAAAAATAGTAAATACATTTTCGCCATTATAACACGTTCTTGAATGACGTAACGCAACAACTTGAACCAGGCAATCTGAATTTACCAAAATGAAATTTTTCGCTCATTCTTGAACCACGTAACACGTTTAATGGATGAATTTTAGTAGATTCTCTACATATCACTTCAAGGAATGCATATGAAGGAAAATCTACCAACCGTTCTGCCGTTTTGATTTGGATTTATTAGTTTCACAATAGGTTTCGTGCTCTCAACAAAAGTGAGTGTATTTTGTGTGTTATACTAAATTAGTTTCATAGTTTTAAAAGACAAAGCCTAAATATTTCATCAGGCAGCGAAATCAAGTATACAGTTTAGCAGTTTTAATTACCGGCAAAATAATGCACGTTGACCAAGATATCATGACATATTTGTTAAAGCTTACTTAACAGGCTGTGTACTTTCAGCCATTATGGAAGCGTTTAAATTCAATAAATAATCTTCATTTCTTCTACCTGACCAACTTAATTCATCGATTAATTCTTGTGGTGTAGGTCCTGGATCATTAATGCATGCATTTGGTTGGATTGCTTGTGTTCTTAGTTTACTGTAATTTGAAAAAAGGAAAACAGATGATATGTTGAAATTTATGGATATTAACATGGATATTACCATGGATCTTATATTTGGACATGAATCGATTGCTTGTTATAGACGCTTCTAACTACTTAATATTAAACGACATTCACTATGATTTCGAGTCACTTCGTCCTGGTGACAGCATTGCAACCTGATTGGTAGTATGCACTAGGAACCAAGGATCAGATGATTAAACACTGAGATTATTCTTTGATAAATTATTCTATCTGTCAATTTTCGCTGGATATATTTAACTGCCTTGTACTTGATACTGGAGACCCAAATACACAAAAAACACAAAGACTACTGATATGAATTTACTTGACCACCAAAATAAATAAAAATGATTTATGAATACAATACTTTTGCTTACAGTCAAATTTGGACAAATTGAACTGGGTAATCCTTAACACCAATACATCACTAGCTTACTATGTGATCAAATATTTTATACTTATAGGTTTTTACATTGACTTGATTTTACTTTTTTAATCTTGCCATATCATAAATGATCAATGAAGGTTGGTTATAACACTGCTAGAGGATGTTGTGAAAACTATTGGATTTGCATTTTCACACCACTCACTAATTTTAGTTAGCCAATCAATGAAAAGTAAGAAAAATAATGAACAGTTATTTTGTCCCAGTATGGGGCTCTACAACAATGTGCATACACCACAGCATGGAAGTCTTAATTCTGAACTATGACTGATAATCTACAAGACCATATAAATAGACAAGTTTCTTCCCATTATACAACGATGAAGATAATTTCTGGAGTTGTGATAAAGGATGAACCTATTGCCAGGTAACTAATTTCAGTATTGCTAACGAAGATGAAAATGGGACAGAAACAGTAAATTGATTTTATGTGCAAATGCTAGAAAGTGGAATATATTTATAGACAACTTGGATGAACGTATCTGTTTATCAATGAATTTTTCGATGTGTCTTTTTTGTTTCTGTACTAAAGTTGATATCTTAGTTCAAACATAATTTTAAGTGGAGGTAATCAACTCATCAGGATGTAGAGAATACGATTTAGTTAATTCTGCTTACGCTGGTTCATAATGTTATCAACTGAAGTACTTAAAGATTTCCTGAATAGTCGAATACCACTATTTTAACCAACGGCGTATGCAAATATGCCATGAGATATAGTGTGATCAGTGAAGTTCAGTCATGCCGAACATGAGAAAGTCAGTCACTTAGAACATTTAATGATGGTTGTTCAACATTATATTTTGCTTGAAGTTGAGCTTGCAAAGTGATGCTGAGTCAGTGGTTCAAGTGTTAAGCACTAATCACAAGGCTTGAAGGTTCATGTTTCGATCCGTGATGGAGCAGGGGATACAAACTGCTAAGGCATCCAATAATATGACAAAACAGCTGTCCATTGCCTCCTTGTTTTTCAATGATTGTCTAAGCCCAGTCGGTATGTTCACTATAATGACTCATGAGTTTTGCTACATCAAAGAAATAATCTGTTAAACTGGCTGATTCCGTGATAATGTACAGTGATAATGAACAGTGTAGCTGAGAGATTAGACATGACTGGTGATCCATTTAATATGTTATGCTTATGATTTGAATGTATTATTATTGACCATACTGTCACGAAAAAGGAATTCATGTTAGTCACAAAGCCATAATCTTCATTCATTCTTAGAAAATCTTATATTTCAAATTTTGTAACCTTAAAATAACATTGAATCATTCAAGACATAATTAGCTAAAAGTACGGTTCTTTCTTCATCAGTTCCCTAAAACAATTTGGTTTACAAGATAATTAATGAACAATTTCCATGATCTTTTCACCTTCCTGTTATATCTACTCAGTGACAAATGACTGAATTTCATGAAATTTTTGAAAATAAAATTTTCCATTAAATGATATTGTAAATAACCATTAGGTAAGACACTGTTTATGATTTCTTTTTAATATTTAATTTAAATCCTTGAAAGTCGGATTGAGTACAAAATGTACAAAATAACAATTCACCGTAGCAATTGTGTGAAGTTTAGTTGTAAACTATTCATTTCATTATAAACAAAGATGGATGATGGCTGTCAGTGGAATCCAGGACGCGCGTTTCGTCTTATTTGAGGCTCGTCATTTTCATAGGCGTTCAGATAACGTTAATGTGATCTGCCGAGGACAAATAGGAATTAACTCAATATTGTTGTTTAAGGGACTTTGTGTTGATTGATTTGATTTGTAGGTGTTTCATTCTACTATAAGACTCCACACTAAATAGCATTCAAAACCCTACAAGCGATCGAACCAAGGACTTTCAGGTCTCGCCATTCAAACTACTGAGTTGGCGCTCAGTGATCCGACTTCAAGACCAATCAATTTGCGAAGTAGCTCAATAATCATCTCACGTAACTGTGGTAACAATTGTTTAATTTCTGCCAATTATGAACTCGGCGAGATTATAATTTATGGGTAAACCAGTCAGAAATAAGATAATAGGTTTTGGATTTTGGAGGGAAATTCATTCATACATTTGTCTAAATAGCGTTTTGGCGCTATAACTGATATTAGTTCGTGATGTAAACTATAAATCTAATTCCTAACTCTAACCATCAACTATAAGTCGGAATTCTAATTCTCACACAGGTTTATGACCCTTATTCAGCCGTAGTTTGTATATGGACATTTTCAAGGTCACTTTAGAATATATAGAAAATATAGTCTCAACGAACCTTCTCATAGGAACACGAAGGCCATGGGTGCTACCACTGACTGGGTCGAGTTCCCTCTGATTTTCATTGCTATCACAATGGTGATCAATCTGTATCGACAGGGTTGTGCCGTTAAAGACTACACTCAATTTCATATTTGATCTCTTATTTCTAACACCTTAGTTCTTAGCTAAGTTGATCAAAATGTGCCATAGGACTTTTATTTGTTGGAATATTTCAATATGTATCACTAAGTTGTATCCCGCATCATAATAATCTTTATCAGTTAGGTGTCAAAAAGATTATTTTGAAATTTCGAGTTTTCTAGTAAAAACTGTTTAGAAGTTGAATTCCTGATTCATGGATCATTTGCAAGTCAAACAGTGATTTTTTTCTAATATAAGTTTAATTTATAATGGTACAAAAAAGTTGTAAGTGAAGTAGATACTACTTCAAACAGACCTCTACACAGAAGTAGATGCTGATAATGTTATCCAAAACAATAATGAATACCACACAGTTAATCCATTCACTTTCAGAGAGCGCAATACTATTAACAGTTTGACATGAATGATACTTCATACTTCCTCATGCTAACCTATTGTTCAATGAATACTGTTTATCAAGTTTTACGTTGAATATATAAAAACTGCAGATTCACTTCAACTCAAGTTAACTAGCTAATAAACTATAGAAGCGACTTAATCAATACAACAAAATAAATAATTTACATTTGATTAAGAGTTAATTAAGGTCATGTGTTTCGGATGATGCTTTCTGCCTTATTTTGTCTTCATGCAACTAAACTTAAAAAAGAAAAGTGGTTTGTGAGTTTTGTTTCTCATTAATTATTGCATGAACATTATTTAAATTGATTGCTTCCTTACTTTGTCGACATGAATAGAAAAATAAATTAGTTGATCATACATAATTGTATGACTTCCATGAAATAATATCGTCACAGTGTATGGTGATTATTACCAATTATTACTAAACAGATAACAAATGAATATGAAATAATAAGTATTACTAGTAGTAATAATAAGATTAGTAGTAGTAGTGATTATCTTTCGTTTAGAGTGAGATATTTATATTGACTGCTCAGCGTGCAGTGCGCGCACTCTCCTCGCGGGATTCGAACGCAGTCTTGAGCGCGAGCGCCTAACCACTAGACCACTGAGCCGGCATTCGACGGTGTTAATGTTTAACTAATCACCAAATTGAGCGACACATCCACCACTGTCATGCATTGTCATGCGCACAATAGGACGAAACGGCTGTCCAGTGTTTCCACGTTTTCCATAGTGGACTCATGATCTCAACTACTGAACTTACTAAAATCTTCACAGAACCGCTTCTGAAATTAATCATCTTTAACAAAACGTTAAATCAATAATAATTACTATTCAAGTAGTTCATTTATGAACTATAAAGTTTTATATCAAACTGATAATGGTTAAATTCATAATAATCTATTATAATGTGATTTGATTTTAACCGACAATTTGATAATACATGGATGAATCATAATTAAAAAAAAAGAAGAAAAGAAACTACTCTTAAATTAATTTATACACTCAAACATGTACAAACATGTACGCTAATATATATGTCAATATATGTTTGATGGATACACATATATTTCCCAATATAAGAATTCAACAATTTTGCATTTTATCATGAATCATTTTAAGTATTAAAATAATATATAATGAATGAATAGAATGATCAATGATAAATAAAGACTAAAGAATTTTCTCGATGTCAAGCTACTACAAAATCGTAATCCAGAAGAAAAGCGTAACTAGGTCCTTTAATTGTATGACATCGTTACCTTTGTAATAAATTATTATATTTATGATTAGTATAATTTCAGTGAAGTCCGACTAATGTCTCTCTTTCCACATATGTTTATGTATCTGAGTATATATGAGTAGTTCAGGATTATTTAATCAATTTTGTCACATATTTCAGTGCTAATTCAGGCGGAACTTGCTTTCTGGAAAATATGTATAAGAATATTCGCAATTATTGATTAAAGTTATTTGTTACTAGTCAAAGAGAAGGTCGGTTGTTTAATAGGGGTATAGGGTAAACGTAGTCAGTGGACTCGGTAGTCAAGCTACCTGATTTTCCTGTCCTAATTAAAGAAAGAGTGAACAGCTTTTAAAGCAAGCTCACTAAGAACTAAACAACTTTATTCACTAAAATATGGGTTTTTGAGGTTAGGTTGATTTTAAGATAGCTTTTATCATAAATGGACATCAACTGTTGGGGTTTTGATAGACAGTTCAGATTGGATTAATGTTCCTTTGAAGTTTTGAAATCTTAAATAATGAATAATTATTACTACACTAGGTTCGACGCCATGATTTTAAAGTTTCATAGAATGTTAATTCTAAGTATCTTCGTTTATGTCCTCAGTTTTTACCAGTGTATTGTTATAGTTGCCCATTGCTAGGAAATTCCGAATTAAGATGATGCAGCTGTCTATCACTTCATGACTTTAAAATCACCCCTAGACGATGTCATTTCTTAATTAAAATGTAAGTGTAATTAGTGGTTTCTGCATCTTCTTAGACAAGCAAAAGTTATAAAGGTATGATTTTATGCCATTTTTGTAACACGGATATGCAATAATCAAGTCTACCCAACTAATCTTTATGAATTATAGACCACTATCCTTTACTTTTACGTTGGAATACCTTTAATAACCGAAGACAATAGATTAAAAGTTTTTTATAACAAACGACAAGATAGAAGTACTCATTCAATATTCACTGTATACATTGACACATACATTATTTAACCCTGAAAATGTACATAAGCAGTGAATGACCTTCAAATGATCAAGTTATCGACCATCGAATCGAAAATAAATTGTTGACCTACTAATTTTTATTTTCAAAGGATTGTTTACAGGATGGTTTTAATTCAGCTAATCAAAATCCCTGGATAATTTTTGTACTTTATAGAAGTTTTTTAATGCATTCAAAAAGCTAGGAATTTTATTCACGGATTTTTCAAGTATTCTGTCTGTTTTAAACCAGTCATATTGTTTCATAATCAGAGGTTATTCCACATCTTAGGAACAGAAAGCAAATGATCGGTTCGAATCTTACTATGAACAAGATAAAGCACTTTGACAATAAACAACACCTTGACATCTGAACGTTATCACTGATTGGAGTGGTTGTTATCTACAGGCGTGTTTAATAAACAACTGTCTAATAACTGTAGCGCTTCGTGAATTTCAATGAATAGCGCCTAAGGTGTCATACATAATTGTAATTTTCTGTTGATTATCTTGCAGAATTGAAGGAAGGTAATGTCATGCACTAATCTGTTTTAATGAATTCCCAAGATATTACAAACTCCAGTTTTAAAACTTGTCTTATTTCTGTTTCTATTGGTTGAGATATTTCCAGATATCTTAGGAAGATAGGCTATTCAGCTTCTTCATTATTTCAACATTTGATCGGACTGTACAGACACAAGCAGATGCTTCACTCAAATTTAATTCATTATCAACCATCCACAGTGAATCGCCCTTCGGAGAGGATAAGAAACCATCTGGGTTTACGGTTTTCATCGACACGAAAAACTGACAGTTATCCTCACTTTACATCATTCTTGAAGTACACACAGCCAATAGCAAATCCCTTGAAAACATTGATATCTTCAGTGTCTTATCTCCATAATGATCTCTAAACATTTCATGGACGTTCTGAGAGTTATTTCATAGTTTTGCATTAGTCACTCAAAAAAAGCCAGTTTCATTATGCATTTTGTATGACGTTAAGCCACTGTAGCATGTTCACTTGATATTGTTTTTGTTTTTCATTTGTTTGAATCTTCCCATTGATGTTTAGGACTGAAATTGTTCAGTCTCTTATTGGCATATGTGCATACTGTGCGTATGCCTCGATATTGCCTTAATTTACAAGCATTATAAGCAAAGGTGGATGATAGTGGCTAGCATGTGTTCAACAACTTTAGAAAGTATTTAATAAATAAACCGAATAATTGACCTAAACTGGTCAATAAATATTGTTTAAGCTAAAAATCAAGGCTTACATATCTGTTTAGCCTGATGATTATTCTTGAATACTTGGAACGTTTTCATTTAAATACAAATAAATCTATCCAATAATTTTGAAATCAAACATTTTCAATTTCTTTATCATTGAAATTTATCCACTTTTTAGATTCTTCTTTAAAGAGTATCTTTTTACGAAACTAGAAAAATATGTTTTTCTTCTCGAAATTGATAAATCCATGATGATTAGTTTTCTAATTTTAATTCGAATCTAACTAATACTATCTATTTAACATTATTTAATTCACATGTATGTAAACATCTATGTCTGCTTATTGTAACTTTTGTATGTTAATTGTATTGAACTAGAAATTTTGAAGTATTCAAATTAAGTTTTGATGAGTCGATGATCCAACAAGTGATTAGAAATGTGTTTTTTCCATAAATGAGCTTATAGAAAATGTTAGAAGTTGATTAAAACGACAATCATTTCTTGTTGTTTATAAAGTGAGTAAACTTCATTTTTGAATCTGTGCAAAATAATTGACAACTATATATAGATGTCTTATTTGAAAAATGAAATGTAAGGAATACCAACTGTGAATATCAGCTTTACAAAAATACCATAGTGAATTTGTATTGAATGTTTTAATTTTCATCTGTATTCAGCTAGAACAGTTTTATGCAATTGTAAGTATAATAGCAGGGTAATGTATTCCGTGATTCATAGTAATAATCTGTTGGTAGTCTTTAGTAACTTGTTGTCCGTTTTATATGCACCTAATACTTTTATTCTCTATAGTATAAATGATTAGTATTTATTAATGTTAAATTGTTGAATGTACTATGAGTTCCTTAGTTAGTCTATTTCGTTCTCTCATTATTTTATTGTTTTAAATGACTAACTATTAACTGATCATGTCTTGTATCTTAGTAGACTTATTGTACACCGAAATCCAGTCTCTGTTTTGTAATTATAGTGGCGTGAACACTCAGAAAGTGTTATAAATAATATAGCGGTTTGTGGGGATTTTTTAAATCTCTAATCAACACTGCGCAATGATATTAGTCAAGTAACCACTGGAAATCAGGAAGGACTGGATATCACTGGACAAGTCATGGGTTCAATCTCTGATGGGAAAGAGTAGAAGGTTGAGAATTTGATTTTGAAACTTTAAAAAACTTAACTTAATTGAGATAGATTGATCAGTTCATAATCTGGATTAAACTTAATTTTATTGGTGACCTTATTTTAAAAAATTAGTTGCTTGAATTATATGCTCTTGAACTTATCTTCAGTTTTGTTTCATGGTTCATTTCAAATGATAACTTTTACTGTTTCAGTGAGTATTTAAGGCTTACTGTTTGACAACGCTACAAACTATTGCAATCATTGGTCGATATTACCTATAACTAAGTATCTTCCTCTTCCAAATACTTATTAAACATGATACTAGTCTACCCAAACAACCTCTTGTAATGCAATCAATTCTTTTCATGAAAATATTAATTAAATATGAAACATGTCAACTTACGTATTATCAAACATTATTATTATCTACATTAATTACTTTCTGAGTAAATGTAAATTTTATGTTTGCATAGTCCTTTGTTCAGATTGAATTTTACTGATCATGCATCAAGGAATTTAATAACTTAACGTTGTAATGCACTACTTTACATGAAAAGTGGTTGTAAATAATCGGTACCAAGCCCTATAAACTAGATCTTCAATCATCATAGATATAAGATCGCTGAATCACTTCACTGGTGAGTTCCAACTAGTATGAAACCAGGGTCTAAAGCTCCCTGATGGTTGATGTCAACTGGCTAATATAACTAGTTCATAATAAAACTCCACTTTTGGTCAACATCGTCATGCTGGTGTGAATTAAGAAGCTACTCTTTAAGTAGTTCTAAAAAATTTTAAGTTGGCAACTTTTGAATTTATTAACACTCTTCTTTTGTACTTTTTAAGCTTATATAATTTTAATTCGGTTGTTTGTTTACTCTTAAGGAGTGGCTCACATTAAGTCACGAAACGTCAGAAATATAATTTTCCTACTCGTTGGAATATAACGACAAAATATTTTGTATTAATCTTCTATCCAACGCTCAATTTATTTGAAACTATCAAGTCCAGATTTGGCACTGATACCTACAAAATCTTCATAAGCATTTGCATAAGCATGTTTAGTCCACTTAAATGAAAATTATCTGTCCATAGTGATTAGATATTGGTCTTGCCTAGAAATGAAGATATAATATTCAGGCTAATAGAGTCATTGTTTGATTGAACTGGAAAAATTGGCATCTATAAGCCTAAAATGAATTTTTTAAGGACGTAGATGCTAACAAACTAGTGAAATGAAATTATGTTTGCATACGATAAACATTTAGGTAATAAAATAGCAATGATAAAAAAATACTTACGTATAACAAATCATCACTTTCCGCATTGCTTCACGTGTTGCATTCAACTGACCATTAAGTGAACGGCAAATGTTGACTAGTTGATTTTCACGTATTTTATAAGTTGCATTCATATCAGCTATTAAATGTTTAAGATATTTTTCTAAACCATATAGACCTTCACTGACAATTAATTGATCATTGGATTTTGTAGCATCTACTAAACGCTGAGCGTAAATTGAATGACAAATACAGTGAATTGGTTTTGCATCTTGTTATCATATTAATTGGTAGAAGGTAGAGAAAGCCTTATAGTTAAAACTTAATGTTAGTGGGGACTTTTTAAGAAGTAATCTTAAGATGTCTGAACTTTCTCACATGATTCAAACCAATGCAGTTCTTTTGTCTCTCGATCGTCAGCAATTTAAAAGCTAGTACATATTTGCGTCAGTTTAAGTTTTCACGTAACAAAAACACAGAGAGATGAAATCATTAAGAGTAACGCATGAATAATGGTAGTAACAGTACCACTGGTAGTAAAAAAAACTAGGAATAGACACCATGATTTGAGAAGAAAAACTGAATACGTGAAATAAAAGTGTAGGTATTTTGAGACAAACAGTAAATATATGTGTCTTGAGCTGTACTACATATTGTCCTACACATCGATTACACTGAATCTGGTCACCCGTAGCTTTCATTCAACCCACTCCTACATTATATGCAATCACGTGTCAAGTTAGACAGTAATACGTAATACATGTCCTAATCACCTCAATCGGTGAATACCCAATACATCTTCAATCAATTTAAAGTGTACCTAACCTGGAAACTGTTCATCTGGTGGCTCCATAATAATTAGGGAATATTTTGAAGAAGCCTAGAATCATATACTAACAACTTATTCTCCTTTATCAATTATTAACCAATGAAAACTTAATCTATTGAGCAATATATTAGTAGATTTCTATGTTGAGTTAGTGGATTTATAAAAAAATGAGTCTGTAGCTTTTTTTTGATATCTAGTCAATTTTTATCTGATATTATACTGATTTTTCCTTCCATGTAAGTCATATCACTTTGATGGAAGTACTCAATATTAAAAGTAAAATGAAATTATAACGTTCTTTAAGTCAATAATGATAATAATAATATTGAATTATACTGTGAATCAAGACTTCAGTTACCATTCAAATGTGATATAAGTCTAATAATATATCAGATATTTTTGTAATAATATTAGAATATACCATTCATAGTATAGATATTTGTTTTGTTTTGTTTCAAAGCAACTAATCACTAGAAAGACATCTTTTATTACCTAAATTAGTTTACCTACTATAATTAAATATTAAAGGGATTTTTACAACTCAATGGTTTTAATCAATAAAATTTTTACTAATTAATCAGTAAAAACGATGTTTTGTTTACATGACAAATTTGTCAAAAATTAATTTACATGAACTGTTTAGAATCAGAAGGGTTTTTGTGGAGATTTTAGAAATTTCACTAGTTGAAATCGCGAGTAAATTGAAGCTAGACCACTAGGACGAAACGGCCGTCCAGTGCTTCCAGGTTTTCCATTGTGGTCTAGCTTCAATTGACTCATGATTTCAACTATTGGAACTGATTATACTCAATAATTTCATATGTAAACAAAAAGTACAATGTACGATTCTGATCCATTTGTTAAATTGATGATTACGTACTGGTATAAAAAATGTAAAGTAATAGTGAACTATGTAAGTGATTCCCATAATTTGTTCATATATGAAGTTATCTCATATAAATTTATGATTACAAGAATTTGATTTGATTGACTTTCGGAGTAAACCTTTGACGGTAAAATATGCTTTATAATTAAATTCATTTAAAGGATTATAGTATTAAAGTTTTCTGAAGAGAAAATAACAACTACCTTCTATATGTCTGGTATTCTCTTCTGCAGTATACATGACATTATCTATGAATACTGTTGTATAGTTCATAATCACGTGGTACTGCAGATAGTTAAAAGATAAATGGAAATGAGCAGGAATCAATTTTAAATGTCATAGTTGGATAGCTATTGTACATTAATGGAAGTGTCATTTGGTTGGAAGTAGTTTATAGGAAATCCTACATGACCTATGTTTGATACTAGTTGAAACTGATCATCACTTAATGAGGGTTCAAATCTAATAGGGTTCATCGGTTCCCTTAAGATTACAGATTTGCTTTCGTACAGAGAATCAACTAACAGGAAATCTAGGTCACGCAGGGTTTCATGTTGACTAACTCCAATTACATAATATTCATAAAGTATAAATACTACGTTATAAATCGCAACCTACAACATATTTTTATCTGTATATTATCTAACAAATAGTCTTACAGTTATTCCATTTATATGATAAATTAAACGAGCTTTAAAATGATCTAAGAATCGGGCCAATTTTCGATTCGTATTTGTTAATTCTATTTGTAGTTGATCACGTTCTTTCATGATTAAATCCAATTTCTAAAATAAAAGAATCAAATATATCAAAAATGTAATGAATTAAAGAATTAACCAAACACATTGGAGAGAATATGTATTGAATTATTTACTGTTCAATGTACTTGACAAATTTCACTGAATAAACAATGATAACAGTATGATAAATCACAAATTATTGAATTTACTAAAAAAATTGATTTATGAAGATTCACCAGCCAATCAGGTTGTTGATAGTGAATCACAATGCATATGATGAAAGATTTTGGTTAATGTTATCATTAAAAACTTCACATAAATAAAAAACTTCAAAGTGAGACAGAAGGAATTAACGAGAGAAAATTAACTTGGTGAGAAGTAAAAAAAAGTAAATTTATATCAATTTCAGTCAGAAATTAAGCATACGAAACAAAAATCATATCGAAGAATGAGAAATATAAGTAGTGACAATAAACTTACGATTACGGAGATTTAGTAATAAATAAATCAATCAGCCCATGCTGCCTAAATGTCTGTAATCGTAGATTACTAACATATTTTAAAGTCAAATCATGAAATGTGCACCTGCCAATATGGTGTGGTTTATTAAATATAAACCAAATAAACTATACTATTTCTCAACTTGATAGCTCCTAGATTCGTACTGAACTAGTTCTATACCATGGATGAAGTGTCTGCGATAAATGGTTTTAAAATGACTTTTATTCATGAAATGACACCAGAAAGAGATTCAGATGGAGAATGTCATAATATAGCAGCTATCTTACAATCGATTTCGATAATGGCTAATTTTGGTTAAGCCCTTTTATTAACTTACTTAACAGACAATGTCACTTGAACAGTAACAAGTCGCATATTTCTTTGTACTGTTATGATCACTAGAGCACATGACAGACTAGCTAAAATGTTGAATGCTTAAATACTATTCTATGACTCATCCTCCTCTCCATATATGTAAGCGCTCAAATCCTACTATTAGCTTTTTCTTTGCCTTGCTGCTCACCTATACAATTTGACTATGCATTTGCCTATATAACTGCTCGCATATACTTATTCGCATCTACGCTAAAAATTCGCTCGATGTGCTCATAGCTTTGTGGTTTGAGCTATCCGCTAACAAGCTGTAGTTACCGTTTCTCTTAGCCTTCTTATTTCAAACACCGTTGAAGTTTAAATAATAACGGTTACGAGGGTGATTGGTTAGCGAAGCAAAGCCTCTACAATAGGAATACTCTCTCCACAGACATTTCAAACATTTTTTTACGAAGTATAAATCATCTCCTTTAAATATAAGATCAATGTTAATATGGCTAAGCATTCTAAAATACAGTAAAAATTATAAGGATATAAACTCCTCCAAATTCGGAAAACTTTCTTTTGAACATTGAAGCAAAGCTTTTTGGCTTCATTCAAAATTCAAGAACGATAAAGTCTAAGATGATTGATTGACATTTACAGAAGGAACAGTCAAGTTTGAGACAGTTGATTAACATTTTACAAATGAAGTATTTACCGTATGGTTTTCAAATTTTACGAAGTTGTTCTGTAATTTTCTGCTCAAATACATTCGATTGTCCCCACTTATGTTCGCGTTTACTACATAAGAACTAATGGATAACATCAAGAGATAGTATCACGAGTTCTGGTGAGAAACAACAATAAAAGGATTTTAACCTTTTCGGCTGAGTGCATTATAGGAAATTAATGGTATTTAGACTTGTATACCATTGGATGACACCTTGGTGGTACAGATGTTAGGCGTTCACTTTAGAAAAGAAAGTCCCGGACTCAATCCCATTAGTAGGACCGCAGACGTGCACTGTTAATTAGTCCCTTACTAGAGTGAAATACCCATCTACAACATGGTGATTTTAAATAGTTGTCTAACTAAGATTAGATTGCGATGTAAACTAAGAGAGTATAACTTCGCAACGAAATTCAAATAATATGTCAAAATAAATATTAAGAATTCAAAATGCTACACCAATTGCTTTTTGTTGCTAAGACATATTTTATTTTATTGCTTTTATAAGAAATGTTTTTTTATTAATTACCAATGTAGTAGTTATTTTATCGGAATAAAAAATATGAGTGCTATTTTTTATTTTTTCAAAAAAAATACAGAACACTGTTTACATTTTCGGAAGCACTAATATATAAACAGTATGAAAATTAAATCTCTTTTTTTTCTAGTGCTTAATTACAACGGTGTGGAGGTTTACTTATCGATGGTGAAGAATGTGGATTTTTCATGACCACAGCTAATTGTATTATTTCAGAAATATGATGGAATGAACCTATATTGATACATTCACCTTTCTATTTTTATCCATTTATAAATATATCAAGGATTTTTCACGTAATTTACGGTTGTAATAAAACTCATGTCACTCACGGTTTATATATTTTATCATGGTGTTTTTTTTCTTCAAATTTTGTAAAAATATTTGACATTTGACAATATGACATGTAACATGGATTCAACATCAAATGAATAACAAGCCAAATTAAATCATTGACATTTTAAAATGTGTTTAATAAATATTTGACTCATAATTTAAGTTTTTAATTCAGATAATAAAAATATTATTATGACAAGAGTAATGTAGATGACATAGGCAAAGAAGCAGTAGAACGTGCATGATCAATGGAAGTATTAATCTAGTACGTAGACCTTCATTAATAAAGTAATCAAATATGTATCTTTTTTAAGATTTAAACATTTTTGGAATTGTGTAGTTTTGTGTTTCCAACGTAAATCATATTAGCATTGAACCAATTATTTGACTAGTTTTCAATTTCAATCCGTTCCGTGTTATTTTCTCGGGGAATATATAATATTGGTCAAACAAATAAAATGTTTCTAACCTATAAAATTCACCCCCTCAGTGACTTTGATTTCTTTTTTAAATATTTCAAGTAATTTCATCTTGTCATTAAAGTGTATATTGAATACATTTAAATATACATAAAGTGGACAATGAAAGAATTCTTAGATAAAGGTAGGTAAGAAGAATTCATAGTGCTCTATTATTTTTTTACTATTAGATTTCATAAATTGTCACAGATCTACGTTTTCTTTCTCTTTGCCAGTATAGAACATAGAGCATCTCGAGAGACCTGATGCATTTCATGAAATTAAGAACTGTATCACACGAGGTCATAATCAAAGATTGTAACAATGAATTTCTTGTTGAACTGACATGCTTATATCAATGAATCACATTTTGGTAAGCAATATCATCTTGTCTAAACATGATTACCAATTGAATTCTATAAAACCAGCTGGAATGTGGTATTAAGTAAGGTCAGTTCTAACATTTCGATAAATAATAGTCCATTCAAGACAGCTTGTACGTCTTACCGGTGAATACCAAAGGTCATGAAACCATAGTTTATGGATTTGAATATTGCCTAAAACTATTTTATGTCAAACGATATAGATTTTAATGTTAAATCCGTCAAACAAGTGGGCAAGATGACAGTTATTAGATAGAGTGAAATGGATGAAGAGTGTAAGCCTACTTCTAACACTTTATAAATGGAAATTCACGTATATTAAAGCTCCGCATAAATAAAGCACATAACAAATAAACTATTATTTGAATTATACGTGATTGCTAACAGTTTCCGTTATATCAAAGGAAAAACATAGTAAACTAGTATACAATGTTAATGGTCTTGCAAGTAGACTTCATAATTATATGTATTTTTCCATTAAAACAGTAGCATATAAGCAGTTACTCCGCCTGTAGCTTGTCTAGAGTTACTGCCGTTCCCATGCCCGGGTAAAGTAGGAGGGTTGTGCATGGGGTTAGCGTCCCCATCCCGTAGAAAACTAACTCGCTAAAAAACGCTAATCAGAAAAAATAAATCAAACCATTGAAACTCTGCTGTCTACTCTCTTTTTTCTGGTGGTCGACTGGATTATGAAGACCTCGACATCTGAGGGAAAACATGGCATACAATGGACAACTCAGAACCAATTAGACGACTTGGACTTCGCAGATGACCTAGCCCTCCTATCACATACACACGAACAAATGCAGATAAAGACAGCCAGCATAGCAGCAGTCTCTGCATCAGTAGGCCTCAACATACACAAAGGGAAAACCAAGGTCCTCAAATACAACACGGAGAACAGCAATCCAATCACTCTTGATGGTGAAACTCTGGAAGATGTGGAATCCTTCACATACCTGGGAAGCATCGTCGATAAACAAGGAGGTTCAGATGCAGACGTTAAGGCGAGGATTGGCAAAGCAAGGACAGCATTCCTTCAATTGAAGAACATATGAAACTCAAAACAACTTTCAACCAATATCAAAGTCAGAATCTTCAATACGAACGTCAAGGCAGTTCTACTGTACGGAGCTGAAACGTGGAGAACTACAACAACCACCATCAAGAAGGTACAGGTATTTATCAATAGCTGTCTACGCAAGATACTCATCATCCATTGGCCGGATACCATCAGCAACAGCCTACTGTGGGAGAGAACCAACAAGCTTCCATCTGAAGAGGAAATTAGAAAAAGACGATGGAAATGGATAGAACATACATTGAGGAAATCATCAAACCGCATTACGAGACAAGCGCTAACTTGAAATTATGAAGGAAAGCGGAAAAGAGGAAGGCCAAAGAACACACTACGTCGGGAAATAGAAGCGGATATGGAAGCGATGAGTAAGAACTGGAAAGAGCTGGAAAGAATTGCCCAGAACAGGTTTGGGTGGAGAATGCTGGTGAGCGGTCTATGCTTCTTCAAGAGGAGTAACAAGCGTAAGTAATTAAAATATAGTCAGTGAAATGACTTTTTCTCACGTGTAAAAAGCCACTGTAACTAATTTACATTAAAGTTGATGATGTTATGTCAGAAAATGTCAGATTAGAATTTTTGACTATTATAATAACATTGATAATAACCAGAAAACTGTAGAAACTACTCCGTTAAGGTAAGGGAATTCTCTATTTTTCTGTACTCGCGACCCTGGTGGGGATCAGACGTAGGATCTTCTGTCCAG